TGAAGAGGCGCATTACAACCTATCGGTATGCGAATCTGACATTGCGGTCGCCGGCGGCCTTCTGCAGAAACGAGAATGCGCGCTCGCCGGTCGCAAACAACAGCTGGAGGCAATCCGCGCCCAACTACGGGAGCGAGAGGCACGCGTTAGCGCTAGCGAGGCGCAGCGAGCCGCGTGGGAGGCGGAGACGGCGGGCCGGGAAGAAGTCTCCACCTCTCGGAGAGGTTTGGCAGATGGACCTGTCGCGCGTCACAATGAGACCGAAGATGGCGATACCAAACAACCACATTAAAAGCATTGCTTGATGACTTTAGGCGCGCTGTTACGCACGGCCCAACGCAGTTCGGCGCGAGAGACGGCAGGCTATTCCCCAGTCGTCTCAGAGCAATTTTTGGTGGCCACATTTCCATTCCTCGATGCCCTTGCCCTCCAGCACATCCCTCTTGGAAGCAAATTCCGGTGCAGAATTAGAGGAACGAATTTTCCGCGCCTTCGACGTCACCACGTGGCCCTCGCGTATATGGGATGAGGGCATTTCCGGAGTCGTTGTTGACCTCCGGGGCGCATACAATTATTGGCAAAGGGCGGACGACCAGGCTCAACTTTCCCTCGAGTGATGGTTGCGTGGATCGTTGCGCTGGAAGCAGAGCGAGACCTCTCCGATCGCTTCATGAGATTTGGCAGGATCTTACTGCAGGCATTCCGGATGCAGCTCATGATGGCATCCGACCCCGGCATCCCGCTCTTCAACATTCGCGCCCGTCTTTGCACCGCTGTTCATGAGGCTGACACCTTTGCGAGGGCAACCCGGCCTCTCGCGGAACGGCGAGGGACGCAACGACCGTTGCGATGCCAATTATTTCATGTTTATGGACACGTAACATCTAAAAGCAACGCCCGAGACGCAACCGGAGGAAGTTGCTCGCAGCGCGGACGACCGTCAAGAAACGGCGTGGGGCTGCTTGCTGCTTTTTATGAAGGCGGACGACGGCAGCCCCATCCATTCCACCACCTCCCGCTATTCCGCAAAGACGTCGCACCGCACCGCACCGCCGATGCTCCACCCGATATTACAAATTGCCCGACGCAATCGTCGAGAAGAGAAATGGAGCTTATTTTCTAACGACGCTCGACTGTGGCACGACGAATTACCGACATCCCGCTTTGGGCCAGTTATATGAAGAGAGGGAACGAGGTGGCTCGAGAAATGTGGGCCCCGTCAACGTGGGAGCAGAGAATGTAACTAGCGGGGCAATTCACAACTTTTTGCCGCACGCACGAACAGCCGATCAACGAGGAGAGCTGGGCGGTCTTTTTGGTGGCAATATTGGATGTGGCGCCACCGACCCGACCGCAGCACGCCAGGATGCTGCGGTCCATGTTGGAAATGAATCGAACCCCGCTGGGCATGGCGATTCTGGGGCTACAAAAACTTGCGGCGCGAGCGGAGACGAGGCAGGCGCGCCCCTTGACAAAGGAAGGGATGGATCAATTTATCCGCAGCCGGATCGATTGGAAGGAACGTGTTGTTTTTCGACTTGCGTGTATGACGGCGATTCGTTGGTCCGGGATTGCGGCCTTGAC